CGGCCATAAAAATTATTTATATTAATGATGTCTCCAAAGGTCAAGTTATCTTTCTGCGATAAATTATTTATCAGATATCGCGGCCGCCGTTTCGTGTGCTGTTCCGCGACGAAGACAAGCTTTGAACAACCGGCGTAGTCGAACGGTACACACTCGGTAAGTAATCCTATAATTTTTTGTTTATAGCATAGTTTATACGGATTACTCCCAAAAAATTATACGTGTTTTGGAAATGTTGAGTGGAATTAGTCTAGAATCGGTTAATTTTATAGAAGAAAACCTTTCGAACAGCCTTAGTCCGTAAACTTCACACGTGTCGGGCTGTGATTGGCTCATGTATTTAAGGATTCCTACAACGTAAAATTCTTATAAAGTGGAACGTATCTAAGCGTTATAGGGGGGTCTACTCTATTCTTAATAATTCTTACTCTTAATTTGTCTGGTATACGATCATATAAATACAAAATACTAAACATCAAAAATTGTCTTAAAAAACAGACACAAAAATAATACGAAAAAAATTGGCGAATTGGTGTCCGACGTGGCTCCATCCCTGCATTGGAGGAAGCGACACTATCGCTTTATTTTCTATGCAAAAAAGGCTTGAAAACAGGTCAACGACATTATAAAAGTACTAGCGGACCCGGCCACGCGTTGCTGTGGCTCAAAATGTATCTATTATAAATGTATAACACTTCCCCCGCAGGGGGAATTTTGAAAAATCCCTTCTTAGTGTACATTCTCTTGACGTACCCTATTAAAATGCAAAAAAAAAACTCATCTAAAATAGTATAATAGAAACGAGTTTTTTACAGAAAGCCTTAATCCTGTCCGTCTCCCCGCGGGAGGAATTTCGACATTTAAATTATATAAAACGCGAGAATTCGAATGCAACGTTGTGTCAAAATTTCAAAGCAATCGGTGAAGAAATTTCAGAAATTTTTATTTTGAACAAACGAACATTACATTTTTATTTATATAGATTAATTCGTCTTTAAACATCAAATTACCTTTAAAAATAATTCTAATATTTTTCTGATTAAAATGGATGCGGTAGTATCCCCGCTCTAACCACGTAGTTGGCTCTAACCACTGGCGGCTAATTACAGAACAATCCGTATCCGTAGTTTTGTTTTTTACCACGAGATGTCGCTACTAGGTGACGTCAAGAACACGGTCTATATAAGGTCAGGACACGCGCGACCTACTTCTTGAGCCGCCATTTTGGGATTTTTTGAGTTGCATGTTTTAAGCAAACTTGACGAACAGTCGGTTTTAAACTAAAATTGCATAAATCCAGTGATTTCCAGTCAAAAATATAATAATTTCGGATGATTATGCAACCCCAATTTTATGTAACGTTTTCATCAAATAGCTTAAAAGAAACAATCATCAATATCATTTGCTGTCGTGATTGAAACTAATTAAATAGATGCTAAAACTGATGCAATTAAGTACAGGTAACCCCCGTATAACACGGCACTTCTATAGCACGGGTTCACTCTAACACGGTTCGGGAATTGGATAAAATCCTCGTACAACATAAAATGTAATAAAGGGTGCGTTCTTTTATACTTCCTCGTAACTCCGCGTGAGCATTCTAATTGTTTTCGTGGCTACTTTGAATGCTCTTTCAACAAATAATCCATTTAATGGTTAAATTTTACAATTGGGACCCTTCTTTTGCCTCTAAAAGCTCATTTTAGAATTATAGATTCCTCCACACGATACTATTGATAGTGAGGGGGCCGCCATCTTTCTTTCTTAAAGAAAGATGGCGTTCCTAAATGCCTACAAACTGTTCACTGTCGTTCCTAAATGCCTACAAACAACAGCGCACTTTCGTTGCAGAGCGACCGCTATTAACGAACGCACCTACAAACTGTTACCAGTTGATGATGCTCGTGCTGAGATTATCATGTAGGATGAATAATCCTCTGGTAAAATATTTACTTAAATAATAAATATTTTACTTATGAAAAAAATAAAACTGATTTAAATAAGGATTTAACGACATGTTTTTTAATTTTTGGAATCTAACCCCCCTTTTCGCAGTAGTTCTTTGTTTCGTATAACACGGCAATTTTATGGAACGTAACTCCTGTGTTATACGGGGTTTACCTGTATATAGGCACTTCGTAAAGTGATGCAATAACATCAAAAAAAATTAAAGTACAGTATAATAAAGAATATAATAATACACTCATGTTTGTGGAAATTGCAACACCATGAAGGAATTGTCAGAAATTAATGAAATTTAATCCACATATTACTGATAGTGGTACAAATAAACGATCAAATTTACAAGATAAAAAAATAAAAATAAAAAGAACGTCGGAAATCAGTACTTTGTGTGTCCGCCACGCTGAGCGATGAGAGCCTGTACACGTCATGGCATTGAATCATACAGGTTCTGAATGTAATCCTGGAGAATGGCATTCCAGATGGCTTTGACTTGACGCCAAGGTTTCAGTCTTATTGTGTGACCACCAGCCGTATGAGCGAGTCGCCGACCAATGAAATCCTAGATATGCTCGATGGGCGACATATCCGGGGAATAAACAGGCTATGGAAGAAGCGAAACCTGTTGTGCACTGAAGAAGACTTGTGCAGTCTGAGAAACATGTACACGGGCATTATCCTGCTGAAATACAGCACCTGGAATGCATCGAAGAAGGGGGAGGACCTCTGGCTCCACAATTTCCCGTATGTAGCGATCACTGTTGAGGTTGCCTGCAATGTGCACTAGATAGGATCGACAATTATACCCAATAACTCCCCACACCATGATGCCAGGCGTTTGTGCGGTATGACGCGAGATATCACACTGTGGGAGCAGACGTTCCCCTCTGTAACGTCTGACGTGTACTCTTCCATCATTGTACTGCAGATTGTAGCGAGATTCGTCGGAAAAAACAACTTGTTACCACTGGGCACGCCACGCGCTGTGTCGCTGAGCTCATTGAAGTCGAAGGTGTCTGTGAATCAGCGAGAGGGAAATCCTGTGTAGAAGAACCCTTGCATGCAGTTCATGCTGCACCAGATGGCGACGAACCGTAGAGCTAGACAACAAAACACCTGTAGCCATGCTCCAACGTTATGCTAACACACGAGAGGACGCTGTACGGTCTGTTAGAGCTACATGGATGAGGTGTCTGTTGTCCCGTGCCATTGTGCTATTGCTTGCCCCATTGCCAGGTTTTCGCCTTATTTGGTTCTCCTCTGTCCATTTCTTAAAAACACGCATCACTGTTGTGGCATTACACTGCGTGCGGGCTGTGATTTCTCGATACGAAAATCCACCCTCTTGCGTACTGACGATGCGGCCTCGTACGAACTCCGTTAGTTGTTGGTATGGCTTTCTCCGCTTTTGACGAGGCATATTGACCACCAATGAAACGTTTACCGCAGACAGAGGAAGATAAACGGATTTCAATGCATCTTTACAGTCCTTTATATACCTGGAACAAGCGGCTGATAAGGAACATCTCGTTCCACGCATGTGCAATCGCTTTGTAAATTTATTCATTTGCATGTCTTACCTCACTTTATATTTCCTGTAAGTTTAGTTCAATTTGCGCAATTCCTTTATGGTGTTGCAATTTTCACAAACATGAGTGTATAATACAGTAATACCCCGACTTACGCGAACCCGGAGTTACGCGATTTTCAAATCTCGTCGATTCATCTTTTGTTTGAGCGCCACGCAACCCTTGATTACTCACTCCCCCCACACTATTGTTCAGCTTACATGTTCAGATGTGTCGCGCGGAATCCACACATAGCTACAATTTATTTTGTGTTATTTATTTCTGTGTTTGTTATATCTACGGAGACTCGAGAGACTCTCTGTGCCATCCAAACGAAGTAAAACTAATTCTTCTGCATCAAACAAGAAAAGAAAAACTTTATCTTTGGAATGTAAAGTTAACATTGGGTATGTTCGTAAAGTCGAACGAGTTAAACGAGAATGACGTCATCGTTATTCCTATTTCGTTAGACTTTTCGAACGATTCGTTACTAACACGTTTAACTCGTTTGACTTTACGAACGTACCCATTATTAAAGACTTCGATACAAAAATGAAAATTTGTGAATTGGCAAAAAAGTTTGATCTACCGGAATTGTCGGTCAGAACAATTATAAAAGGCAAAGAAAAAATTCTCGAAGCTGTGAAAAATGCTCAATCTTTAAATTCAAGCATCATTTGTAAACGTCACAGTATTATCGCTGAGATGGAAACAATGTTAAAATTATGGCGTAATAATCAAATAAATGTGAAAAATTGTAAAATAATATAGGCCTAATTTGTTATACATATGTATTATCTAAGATTTTATTAAACATTTTTTTCTAAATTATTGTTTTCTTTAGTCTCCGGTCCCAATTAAAAATTATTTGTATGTATTTATATGCGAAATTATACCCCGACTTACGCGCTCGGTCCCACCTATCGCGTAAGTTCGGGGTATTACTGTATAACAAATTTATAATTATTTTTTCAAAGCATGATTGGTTATAAAATTAAGATGAAATTTAATAGTATTATTAATAAATGTTGTCAATGTACTGTAATGCTCATTTTATAATAATAAATATGTAGATACATATAGATATTACAAATTTCTAATTAACAGAAATAATTAAATAACTTATCTATTGAAATGGTTTTAAAAATTTTTAAGAATAAAATAAATTAGTACATTTTATAAATTTTAATATTAATATTAAATGTTTTTATTTAATTTTATTTTAAAAAAAATTGAAAGACGTCGCTGCAGTAACAATTCTACGTCATATGATAAATATGGCGGACGACGTGGTGGAGGTTATCGATGAGGAAAACGAATCCATAACGTTTAAATCTTTAGTAAGTTCGTTTCCATATTTTACATTTGGTACGGAACTTAATTTAGCTAATGTATAAGCCGAATATTAAGCTTTAATCGTTTAGCTTTTCGCACATTGTACACGAACACGTGGTCTGATGTCACGTTGTTGTTGTTTCAGGGGGTCGTAGACGTCTTGTGTGAAGCATGCGAGTCTCTGAAATGGAAGAAACCGACGAAGATTCAACAAGAAGCCATACCTGTTGCCTTAAAAGGTAAATTTTTGTAGAGTTTTTAAAAAATGGACGGTGACGAGTTTGAAACTACTGCTGTGTGTATTATCTGTAATATTTTTCGTGCCTGCCGTTTGCATTACATTTAACACAGCTGTTGAGAGTCGTAGAAACAGATGACAGCAAGAGACTGTGACCAGACTTATAGATGTTTTGGCACTTGTGCTGACTAGGGGATACGGCTATTTGAGAGGTTTTCTTCCATAAAATTAACTAAATCTAGACTAATTTCACTCGAATATTTCCAAAACACGTATAATGTTTTGGGAATAACCCATATAAAATATGTTATAAACAAAAAATTGTCGGAATACTTACCAAGTGTAGCCCGTTCGAAGACGCCATTGCTTAAGCTTGTTTTTGTCGCAGAGTGGCACATTCTTTGTATGCGTCCACTTTCAATGTGTCGGTGCTATTCGGTCACGTGACTACTCATCTCTGATGTGTTCCTGATAACTTATTCTTTTTGCGAAGAATTCGCTGAACTTTACAGACATCATGATAGAATTATTATCGTTAGTGAGTGCTTTTTCCTTTGTTGCTTCATATAGTCAATAATAATAATAAGTCGTTTCTAATTACAATAAAACTCTATAGTATATTATGATCTAGCACATGATCGCTAAAGTTCAGCGAATTCTTTGCAAAAAAGAATAAATTATCAGGAAACGTCAGAGATGAATAGTCACGTGACCGAATAGCACCAACAAATGTCACGTGACACGCTTTGTGCACGTCTGCCGTCCAATGTGACGCTCCGCGACGAAAACAAGCTTAAGCAATGGTGTCTTCGAACGGGTACACTCGATAAGTATTCTGACAATTTTTTGTTCATAGCATATATTATATCGATCATTTCCAACAAATTATACGTGTTTTGGAAATATTCGAGTGAAATTAGTCTAGATTTAGTTAATTTTATGGAAGAAACCCTCTCAAATAGCTGTACCCCCTAATCAGCACAAGTGCCAATGTTTTGATATAGTTCATCATATCAAGGATATGTGGGAGTCTACTATGTTCCATTAATCTGTAAGGATTCCATTAATGTTATGCTAATGTGAGGATTTCATATGTTGATTAATGTTGATGTAAGGGTTTCATATGTTCCATTAATCTATTCTATAATCCAAGTGGCAAATTACCTAGCTACCGCTAGGTAATTTGCCTCTTGGATCATAGAACACCAACATTCAATTTTTATGCAGAAGAAACACAAAACTAACCTTTTTAATGCTTTAAACCAGGGCTGTCCAACTGGCGGCCCGCGGGCTGTATATGGCCCGCCAAATAATTTTTACGGCCCGCGAGTACATTTTACTATGAATAAATTTATGTTACTAAATTATTATTATTATTAATATTAAAATTATTTTACTATGTGGAAATTTAAATCTAATTTGAATTTAAAGTAGGTACTATTTAGTTTGCGTAACTTCACTTAACCTGGCTGAATACAGCAGCAACCTTCTTGGCCCCCGATATGTTTGGTGAAGAAAATATGGCCCGCGGGCTATGATAAGTTGGACAGCGCTGCTTTAAACTGATTTGACATAATCTATTGATATTCACATCTCTAGTGAGAAGGTTGTGGATGAATTTGACAATTCAAATAGAAAAAATATTAAATTCTTGACCTTGCTAATCTGGCCATTCCTTGCAGAAAGGGGTACAAACCAATAGTGTATTAGTTAATAATGTAGACTTTTTAATCAAAGAAAACATGATGATTTTAAAAAAACATCAAAAGTGCTTTATTCAAAGTAATGTCCATTGCTAGCTAGCAGTGGACATTACCTACACATTTCTCTCATCTTTCAGGTAGTTTGTGGATACTTTTCCAATAGAACTTTTTTTTGTTTTGAGCCAAAACCATTCAGAGACCCATTTTTACACTTCATATGTTTTGAAGTTCTGCTCAGAAAGTGTGCGCGCCATTGATTGGAACAAGTGGAAATCAGGAACAAGGTCTGGTGAGTACGGCAGGTGGGTTAATACTTCCCATGCAAGATCTTTTAACATGTCTAGCTGCTTTCGAAGTGTGTGATGGTGCATTATCATGAAGCAAAATTACTTTGCTCTATCTTCTGGCCCATTCTGGTCGTTTTACAATCAAAGCATGGTTAAAATTGATTATTGTTCTTTATAACAATCAGTATTAATAGTTTCACCAGGTTTTAGAAGCTCATAATACACTGCACCTTCCTAATCCCACCAAACGCAAAGCATTGTCTTCTTTCCAAAGCAATTTGGCCTTGCAGTTGATGTTGATGGTTGACTTGGATCAACCCATGATTTTATGCATTTAGGATTATCAGAATAAATCCACTTCTCATTGCCAGTCACAATTTCATGCTAAAAAGACTTTCTTTTGTGCTATTGAAGCAACATTTTACTGGTGACTTTTTGGTTTTCCATTTGTCTTTTGTTCAGTTCATTCTCCTTCTTTTAAAATTGTTTCATTGCTTGTAAACAATTGGAAATTGTTTGATGAGCAACATTTAATCTTTCTGCAAGTTGTTTTTGAGTTTGACACGCATCTTCATCCAATAATGCTTGTAAATGTTGGTTTTCAAACTTTTTTAGTTGACCTTAATGTTCTTTGTTTTTCACATCAAAATCATCATATTTAACATGTTTAAACTAACATTCACAAGTATTTTGAGATGGGGTATGTTTATACCCCATCTCAAAATATAAACTTTTCAAAATATATAATAACTTTCTGCAGCACTTTTCTTCAAAATAAAGTAATGAATTAAAACTTTCCACAAATGTTTTGTTTTTATGGGACAAAACTTGACATATTTAAGTATAAAAATATCTATGATGATAACACCTTCAGAAAATTTGACGTACAGTAGAGCGTCGATTATCCGAAAGTCAATCATCCGAAAGAATTCCAGTCAGCAAATTTAAATTTTCGCCAGTGCTGTTGCGCTGCAGTCTTTGGCTATGTTTTGGGCTACTCAAATATTTTACGTTTTTGATACTAAATTAACTTCTGAAGTATAATTTTTAACGATACAATAGTCTTCGTTAGGCTTAACATCGACGAAAATTCAATGCGAAGCAACATGCAACGGAGAAAAATGTCAAGATGGGATAAATTAATATATTTTTACATAATAATTAATATATACATAATCGGTTATCCGAAACATCGATCTTCCGAACAACCCCAGTCCCCAATTGATTTGGATAATCGATGCTCTACTGTATAAAGTTTTAAAGCCTGTTGTCAATTCAACAAAATGGCATACATATCAAAGCAGATATATATGGTGATGGGAAAATGTCTGGCCAAAATTTAAAGGAGGTTAGAGGGGACGAATATAAAAGGATTCGCAGTACAATGCTTGTCCGGAAATGCCGCTTGAAAGTCCTGGAGGGTAAAGAAAGTGGAAAGGAAAAAGACACAAACAAATGTAACAAGCCCAACCTTTGCATAGCTCTCCCATTTCCATTTGCAGCTCCATACGTCAGATGGATATCTGCTAATTCAGCATTCGTGAAGCACTGCATGCCGTATGAAATCACAGCAGGGAATGACAGCTTCCTGCATTGCCAGCTTGTTTTGACTGCCCTACACAATGCCCTCTACCACCTTCATGTGGCATTTCTGGACAAGCATTGTACTGCAAATCCTTTTATATTTGTCCTCTCTAACCCCCTTTAAATTTTGGCCAGATATTTTCCGATCACCCTGTATATCAACATATCTGTAATGCCATCATTGAACAAAATCCACATTATTAACCTGTACACCTGCTGTACACCTGGTACAAACCTAAAGGCAAAGAATGATGTGACTTTTAACCCGGGGATATTATTTTCTACTCATTTGGTTCCTCGCTGTGTACTGTATTGTGTTATTTTATATATCTATATTGTAAAAATAATGCTCCTTTTTTAAAAAACAACATAGCCCTTCTAAAAATTCTTCATACAAGCCTGATATTATAAAATCTATATTCAGATTTATGTAAATTGAAGCAAGATTTTAATAAATGGATGACAATAATTTTATTAAATCTTTTTCAGGCAGAGACGTCATCGGACTGGCCGAAACAGGTTCTGGAAAGACCGGAGCCTTCGCCCTTCCTATCTTGCAAGCTTTGCTGGAAAAGCCTCAACGACTGTTTGCATTGGTGTTGACGCCGACCAGAGAATTGGCCTTTCAGATATCCGAACAGTTTGAAGCATTGGGCAGTTTCATCGGAGTTAAATGCAGTATGTAAAGTTATATTGCAATCTTTTGTAAATGCCGAAAGTTTGTTGTATTGTAACATTTGCTTGTTTTAGTTGAATGTATTTAAAATAACTTATCATACAAGAAAAAGTATAAAAATACATCAAACTTAATTATCCATAATTTTAATTTAAATGTTAAAACCAAATGGGGGTGTTAACTTTTTACTTTTATATTAATATTTAAATTATACTAACAGCATTAATAATTAATCAAGAATGTTAAATAGTCTTTGATTAGTTATTAAAATCATATTCTTAAGCAAATTTCAAATTTTAGTTTTATTTTAAGTAACTTGCCTTATCTATTGTCCATCACTGGAACAAAGAATCCCTGGAGCTCTGCATTTATCCATCTCATCCTTCCCATTGTAGAGTAGTGTATATACAGTTGGGGTGCTATAAGGACACCTCGACTATATAAGCTGCTCTGCAACAGGAAGGATGAGGCAGATAAATTCATAATTTGCCTTGTTATGTTCTAATATGTTTCATGATACAGACATAAAGTAAAAAATGTATTTACCATATACAGAATGTTTACACAAAGCTCAACAACTGTGTGTCACCTCCAGGAGGTTTCTTTCTATTTGTATTCATAGAGTTCTTTACCATCACATGTTAAGTATAATTTTATTTAACAGATATGAAATCTGTTTTCTAAACAGAAAAAATTAAATGCAAACTATGTACAGTACACATACATATAGTAGTACCTCAGGATACGAATGCTCCATCATACAAAATTTTCAGGATACGACATGAAATTTGAACATATTTTTGCTCCACGATATGAACAAAAACTCACCATACAATGTTACATTAGTTTGCAGCGCCATTTTTTATTCATTTCTGTTCATTGGTCTCAGTCTGCATGTTTGCTTCATCGTGGAAGGATCTCGCTTGATAAAGGAACTTTTGAGGTATTATCAGAAAGTGACCGATTTTATTGAAAAGAAACATCCCGAAAAGGTTCACACTGGCCGTATTGCTACTCGGAGTAATGACATTTGCCTAAGTCATTTTAGAAACATTTTAAAAAGTAGGCAAAGCCAAATCTCTTTGGATAGATATTTTACCAAGCGACCTCTATCCAGTGGAAGTGCTGGTGGAAGTGAAGGAAAGAAAGCAAAAAGCAGTGAATAAAAATTTTAAAAAATATATATAAAACAACACTAATTTTTTATCTTTTCTAAGTTATTTTTAAGTTATTGTTACATTATGTTATGTAAGTTAAGTTTTAGTAGCATTTCCCTTCTCCCTCTCTTCCGCTACTAGTTTAAACCTCCACCGTCCTCTATCCTCAAAGATAAAATGCAAATAAAACAACATTTTTTTATTCAATTATTATTCTATTATGGTTATTTATACATTTACAATTCAATGCATTTTTCAGTGTTTTCCTTACTATACTTATTATTATTTTTTTAATGTACTACTTAGCTTTAATTTGAGTGTGTTTTTCGTGTTGGAACGAATTATTTGGTTTTACATGTAATTGTATGGGAAAAAATGATTCACCTTACGACATTTTCATGATACGGTCTCAGTTTCGGAACAGATTAATTTCATATCCTGAGGTACCACTGTATATACAATAGCAATTCATTTTTTATTGAATACAATCCTAATGGAGCTACTTGTTTTTGTGCTTTAATAATTTAGCGGTGATAGTGGGAGGCATCGACATGGTGACGCAAGCCTTATCCTTAGCTAAAAAACCTCATATAGTTATAGGTAAGTTACATGTTTATTAATAATATATATAAATAAATTGTTTGATATTCATTCTCACTAAATTGAAATATTTTACTCCTGTATTCAATTATACTTTAGCTTTAATTCAAATATTAACTTGGATTAAAGATTATGGATGAATATATATTTACTATGGTCTTGCTTCTTAATTAAGACAAATTTTTCTCTTGCTTCATTCTTTCATTTCCAATGACTTTTCTGTAGTTTAATGGAATCACAGATCTGTGTTATTCTAAAGTAAATGCACTTGAACAGTGGTAATGGTTTGGAAAAATACATAAATTAACATCAAGAAACCTGAAACAATATTCAAATTAACAATTTCTGGCACACAGTTTTCTAGTTCAAATGAGCATTATCAGTTGCTTAAGTGGCCCTTGTGGTGTATAAATAGCTTATTTAGAAGAATCTGTTGTATTCCAAAAAGTTTGAAGCCTCTTAAATTTTTGTCTTTAACGGATTCTTTTAAATAAGCTATTTATATTTGATAAAAACCACTTAAACGACCAAAAATGTTTGTTTGAAGTAAAAAACTACGTATTGGAAAGAAGTAAAAAGCAAAAGACGCTAATTTGGAACATACAAATGTTAATGTGGTAACGGGTCATCTTTGGATGGGATCTTTTATATGCCCAAATGTTGCCTGTTAAATTGAGAGCATTTGTTACCCACATGTTGTTTATTACATTTAATAGAATCAAACATGAGAGTTTAAATCACATTTTTTTAAATGTTCAAAGATATATTTTTTATATGATTGATTATTATTACATGTAATAACGTAATATTAATATTCACATTTAACTGAAACAAAGAAAAAATAATAATTGTAGGAAACATGATATATTATTAGTTATGCAAACATATAATAACTATTTTACACATAATACAGATAAATATTATTATATTTTGTAGCAACTCCCGGGAGATTGGTGGATCATTTGGAGAATACAAAAGGATTTAATTTGAAGGCATTAAAATATTTAGTAAGTAACAAAATAGATTAAAAGTAAAAATCATTGTATTTATTACTTATTTAAAGGCCATGAAGTAATAAAATTACTAAAATATGTACTTTGTATTTATCATAATGTTATGTTAATAAATTTAAAATTTTTCTGCACATTTATTAAATACTTTCCATTAGCTATAGATTTAAATTTTTTGCTCAGTTTTGCATGTTTGAAAGAAGAAAATTCTCGTGCAGAAAAGAAAAGGGAGAGTGTCGCATTTTATAATTTTAGATTTTGAAACTTGTTTTTTAGAACATAAATTTAAAGTTTTCAAACATAGTAACAATTTAAATGATAATTGTCAAAAGCAGATGATCTTATGAGCTCTTCTGCTTTTGACAGTCTTTTAATGGAATCTAAATTCTGATGTATATACACTGCCTGACAGATGAAATGCCACACTATGAAGGAATGCTCTGAAATAGATAGCATTGAAAATATACATAGGCAAGTAAGTGTTGAACAGATGATTTACTGTTACTGAACAGACAAGGCTCCAGTGGATGAATATATGGGATAATCGGTAAGGAGGTGCACCCCCAATTTGGTGATCCTTTGTTGAACCAAATGTAACGTTAGTTTAACAAGGGTCTAAATAATGCTCTGTCATATCATAGACCGTGTGGTGTTGATTCAAGTTTATAGTTCATCTTCATTTCAGGAGGGTGGAAGGGTATTCATTTGTTGTCCAGTCATCATGCCCCACGGATTTTTGACTGGTGAGAGAATGGGGGATCGTGCTAGCCAAGGAAGCAGCCACACATCTTGCAAGCATTTGGACTGATCTGACAGTATGTGGCTAGGTGTTGAAAAAGTGCATTTGGGATATCTGACAGATAGTCTTGTCACAGGCTGCAGCAAGCTCTCAATGTGCCATAATGTATAGAGATGAGCAGCTTTTGACGCTAATAGAACCTCAAACCATGACTTCAGTGACGGGCTGTGTGGCACTCAAAAATGACAGAGGGCCACGTCACCTCCAGATCGCCACAAAATGTTCAATGGCCACATCACCTCCAGATATCATATAGATCATCGTTGGTGAAACAGAACCGTGATTTGTCATTGAACATCGTACTGTTCTATTTGGCACACCATTCCAATCAGTGACAAGGTAGACGTTGCAAAAGTGGCTGGACAGCAAACTTGTCACAACCAATTGATGAGATGCTGTCTGTGTCAATACCAGAGCATCCAAAGTTCCTATACAGCCTGCAAAATGTTGGTCCACTATGTCACTGTTATGTCAGATGCAATGATCTGTGCACTTTGATGTCTGTCTCCATGCTTCAGTTTCCCTACGACACACTTTTCCTTTCTAGGACCACTATCTAAATATGACTGACAGTTGTAGCATCACATGTTTCTTAAGGCGGCCATCCACTTAAGTTAATCCTTTGAGGATTAACCATACATGCCTGACCTTGAGTAATTCTGATAGTGTGTGAGGGAAAATTTAACAGTTTTGGCAAACTGTACTGACCACTGGAGTAGAATCGTAAAACCATTTGGTTTTCCTGCACAGTGTCAGACTGTGCAGGCTGACCTTAATGTGTGTGCCATCGTGTCGTTCAGTTGTGAGACCGCTGAGTAGTTAGAACAATGTCTCGTGAATGTTTGGAAGAATTATTTTCTATAACCTTATTAACTTTTATTATTTATAACCTAAAAAATTAATTTTTTAGGTTATAAATTATTTTCGGATCAAAAATTTCTTGAGTAAATTAAAATTATAAATAATTTTAATATTTAGAAAACTTCTCAATTCATTTCTTCCGTTTTCATAAAATATCTTGATACTCTATATCATTTTCTTTTACATTTTCAAAAATTTATTGTTTTAATATTTAAGTAAATTAAAACATGACAACTTAAAATAAGACAAAGTTTAATAAATTCTTTTTAATTATTAAATTATAAAATTAATTTGCGATAATAATGTTTACAATTTGTACTAATATCGGATGTGGTTGAGAATTATTAATATATATTCGTCTATAAAATTTAATCCATGAATTTTTTTGGTAGTAAAATTGACTTGCCATTGATCTTTCGGTGATAACTGATGCTTTTGAACAGAATCTATAGCCCAAGATTTCTCTTGAAAAATTAGTTTTGTGATCTGAAATAATTCCATTAAAAAATTATTCATATGAAAAATTAATTTTGTGATCAGTGCTACCCAAATCACTACTACTATTTACACCATAGACTTCTATGCATACATTTTCCCTGTGAGTTTTAATAGAATTTGTTGCCAATAAACATCCAAGAACAGTCGGTATGTCGTCATCAGATGCCATGGCTGACTGACTGACAATGGTGTAGTGAACATAACTGGCGCCTCTCTGCGAGTGGCGCCCAGGGCACATGCCCTACTTGCCTCAACCTAGCTATGCCTCTGCTGAGAGATTTTCTTCTTCGTGTGTGAACGATAAGAAATTCTGAAGTTCCTCAAGGTCAGGCAGCCTCAAAGGATTAACTTAACGTGTATGGCTGCCTTTACACAATATGGCATAAGGACCAACTGACAATACAAAGACCTACAATGAAATCTCTTGTGAACTAATCAGTTTGATGAAATTGCATATGAGGACATCTTAAAGGTATTAGCACCCCTTGTTCGTTTGCCAGACATGGTAACAGCGGACCACTTCACTTCTCACGGCCATGACAATATTTTGGCTTATGGCTTCACAGATTGGCTATCCATTTATATCTCACACTGCTATCATGTGATTGGCCTGAAAATGCAATTATTTGCATAACTCACATGGGTTCATTTCTCTGCAGTTTGTATGGCACTACATTCACATCTTCATGCTGTGGCATTTTCTCTGTCAGGCAGTGTAATCAGTCAGTACCAGCAGCTGAGTGGATAAAATCACCAAACATTGGTAGTTAGTTTCAGGTTTATGCTGTACCAACAGATCATCCACATGAAATTTTCTGGGTTTCTTTACACATCTTACATCAAAATAGGTACCAGTTTCCCTTAGAAAGTCTTCTCAAGATTCCTCCTGACAGATCACCCAACAATCAATGCATTGCCTTCTGTCAAACTAATCCAATTTAATATATATATAATTAAAAACAGAGAGAAAGAAATTTGGTTCTCCATTACAGGATGTTAGTGAAGATTTCATACAATTGGTTGACATGTTTTAACAATAGAAAACAAGCAAATTTGTACCATAAGAATTTTTCATATAACAAACAAATTTGCATCTTGTTCTGGCATTTAAAAGTCCAAAAATACCCAGTTATATATCAGAAATATATTTTTAGGTAATGGATGAAGCAGACAGGATACTGAACATGGATTTCGAACAGGAAGTTGACAAGATTCTCAAACAGATTCCAAGAGAAAGGTGCACTTATTTATATTCCGCAACCATGACAAAAAAGGTCAGACCTTGTATCACAATGTATTAAATTATTTTATAAAATTGTTTCAAATTTAATTACTTTTATATCACAAATATATTCTGTATAGGTTCAGAAACTTCAGCGTGCATCACTCACCGATCCCGTAAAAGTAGAAGTCTCCCGAAAATATCAAACCGTAGAAAAGTTGCAGCAATATTACATATTTATACCATTAAAATTTAAAGTATGTTAACATAAAGTTTCTTTTTTATATATATATATATAAATGAACTGAACTTAATGTTTAGTTTCTTTGGATTACAGGATGTATATCTTGTTTACATCTTAAATGAACTCGCAGGTAACTCTTTCATGGTTTTCTGTAGCACCTGTGCTAACACTCAGAGGACGGCATTGATGTTGAGGAATCTTGGATTAAATGCCATTCCCCTCCATGGGCAGATGAGTCAGGTATCAGTTTAAAGTTAGTTTTTTGATAAATTTACACACTAATTTTCACTTAAAGATACTGTTTGATGGTTTTTGTAGTTATCTAATATGTGAAAATTCTTAAAATATACAAAATTTGAAGACAAATACAATAATATTCTCCTCACATACCATAGAAGTACAGTTAAGCACTTGTGGCATTGGCTTATGTAAAGGTCAATACCATGTGTGTTTAATTAGGTTCCTGTGGTATAGGAAGTATCAGCATAATCTTATAAAATTTGAATAATAAAGCATGTTATATATAGTTTGTAATATCTTCCCTACCTAAAAGATTAATTCTACTTGTGTTTACATTCATAGTATGAGAAGTATAAATAAAAATAATTCAGTAAACATCAATTTAGAATTCAAGAGTCAGTGAATGTTAGTTAGTCACTCTTTATCTTAAAGCTTTAACTGCCTTGTGGTCATTAAACAAACTTATTGTGGTATGAATCTTGGTTCAGCTGGGTTTGTAGTAGAAAATTCTGGGTGGTGAGGTATGGGCCCAACATATCAAGTAAATCACACACGAAAATTTCTGAAGCCTTTGCACTAAATCCAGATGCATGTGGACAACAGAATTAAAGCAACATTGAGTGTCTACAGCAGATTCAACGTGTTAATCCATGTTAATTGTTAAGGGGCAGCAGTATTGACCATGTTCTATTTTGTCTGTAACTGTTAGTAAATGTTAGAAAGTGTGTAATTTTGGCAGTTGTATGCATCAGTCTTAAATCTGGGTTATCAGACTAGTTGGATGATATATTTGACACCTCAGCTGTCTGATTAATCAGTTTAATATCATGCATTGCATTTGGATTTTCATTCATAATTGGACTGCAATTTCCAAATTGTAGACCTGTAGATTTCCATGTTGTGCATCCATTTGTCTGTAATCTTGAGAACAAAGTTAGTTAGACAAAAATTGAGATCAGATGTGGAAAGCTTAGGGGTTGGAGGGTCCAATTAACTAAATACAAAATTCTTGTCTGGACCATAAATCACATGATTTTTTTAAATTGAAAGATAATTAAAAAATGCAGCCCAGTAATGTGATGATGTTACAATAAGTAATTGCCCATTGTTGTTTACTATCTTGGTATTTATTTGAAAACATTTATAATACTATATTTAAACTGTATAATTTCCACAGGCAAAACGATTAGGATCTCTGAATAAATTTAAAGGAAAAAGTCGATCAATATTGATTGCTACGGACGTTGCAAGCAGGTAAGAGTATTCATTTTAGTTGTGGATTTTAAAAAGTATTTTTATGCAAGTTAATGAGAATTTCTATTTATCAGAGGACTGGATATTCCTCACGTCGACGTCGTCATCAATTTCGACATTCCCACTCATTCGAAAGATTACATCCACAGAGTCGGAAGAACCGCCAGGGCAGGCCGCAGCGGAAAATCGATAACATTCGTCACACAGTAAGTACATGTTACAGCAATTATTCAGATTATAGACACATTTAAAAATAATTGTTAATGCATTTGATCTGACAGGTATGACGTGGAATTGTATCAACGTATCGAGCAGTTGATTGATAAAAAGTTGCCTCTGTATTCGACAGAGGAACAAGAAGTAATGATACTCATGGAGAGAGTCAGCGAAGCTCAAAGATATGCAAAAATGGTAAGTAAATTTAAAGAAACATTATTGATGTTGCGTTCAAAAAAGATTTTAATCAATTTTAAAATCTGATAAGACAGAAATAGTAACTGTGAGAATCATTAACAATTCATTGCATATAGACATATGGAAATTTGTCTACAGTTGATCTAAGGGATTTGCAGGAATTTCACAAATTTGTTGCTTTCTAGGATGCATCCTGAAATGCATAAACAAGAGTAGAATGAATTTGGAAGTTACTGGATTTTCTGACTTCCAGATTCAAACAGTAGGCAGAAAATCGTGGATACACTAGAAAAAGGTTTTGACAGCAGTAGAATGCCCAGTTCAGGTTGATCAAAGGCATAAATGATAACACAGCAAGATCAAAGAAGGATAAGATTTTTCGGCCCTGTCCGATTGGTCCCACTATGCACATTAGACATAAGCAAAGCCAATTGAGTTAGGAATCAATTTTGTGTCAATAAATTGCATCTCCCTCTCTTCAGATAATTGTCCTAGTATTCAGGATATTTTCGTAGACGTTAGAGGTTTCGATCCACTGTCGGCATTGATACAACTATTATTTGATTACATATAATAATCAAAGATCCAAATTTGAATTGAAAATATTCATTTTTTGTAACACACACAAGAATAGAGACAATTATTTTAAAAAACTAGTGTTGTAGTCACAAGCCACCAGTTATCTATCAGATAATGGGGGTTCATGACTACACAACCAAATTATTTTCTCGTAGAAGTTTGTCAAGGCTGGTTTATGCAATACAAATACCACTGATGTTTATCACAATAAAAAACACACGGACAATGTTCGTCAGCCTTCACAACAAGCCTGAATACAGCTTGCATGTGTTGTGGTCTCGGCTTCACAAGAGTATTTGTTTCTCTTCAGAGTAAGAATACAATCTAATACATGATTTTGATCTTATCGATTGGTTCAAAGATGTGACAAGAAACAAAACAATTGACAGATTAGGTTTCCGTTAACTGATTGTAATTTATCAAATAGAGATTGCCAACAGGTCACGAGATTGTTCAAATCCATGCATATTTCAGTTTAAAGTGATGGAATGTCACTGGTAGTTGTATTGTGTAAACTAGCCTTTAAGAGTTATGATTATTTTATATTTTTAAAAACAGTTCTTGTTTTGTCATCTTGAACTTTCAGTCATAAATTGTAATGGAGATGTAATAAAGTTTGAATTGCTGAATTCACAGATTTTTACTAATAAAATCAGTCAAAAGCCTGTTTTAGATGTAACCGTGTGAAAACTCATTTATTTGTGCACCAAGGGACTAATCAAAATTCATGATAGGCATAAAAAAAGTCTTTCATAAAGGCTTTGGAACAGATCATCTACTACATACACTACTTTTAGATTCTCTTTGCTCTGTTTTAGTTCCAAACAGCAGGAATTTTCTTCTAATTTCAAATATTTCATCTTTTAAAGTTATGTATAAGTTCTAAGAAATTTATATGTAAACTTCTGATTATTGTAAAATGAAAATTGAATATATTTCTAATGCAGGAAATGAAAGAACTGGAAGATAAGAATAAAAAGAAGAGGAAGAAGGAAATAAAAGATGAAGGTGACGACACCGAAGAAACTGTTAAAGTGAAAAATAGAATTAAGAGAAAAAGGAAATAAATTTATATAAAATTACCTTACAAAGTTTAAAATGACTGATGCCGGTTTAAGATAAATTCTCCTGTTTGTTGTAGAATAACTTAAAAATGAAGCCCGAACAAAATTCTAATTAACGCATAAATTCCGTATTTAACATGCAGATTAATAATCGTTCTTTTGCACTAAAACAACCGCAGAATCTATCGCCAGTAGTTGCCAAAAGTTTATCTGCTATTTGCATGCGATGGCACGAGATTTATATCTAGAATTTGCATATATTTAATTAAGAGACTCTTGTTTGAATACATGCAAATGTCAGATATAGATCAGGATAAAACCGGGTTATAAAATCACTTTTTCTATACTTCATTCTCGGTGTTGTGGTGAAAGAGTGGTAAGAAGTGATTCTACAACTCAGTTTTAGTTTTTTACTTGCAAATTTTTAGTTTTGCTAAAGAAAAATACATCCTAAACTCTGGATTTAGGGATATAGACACTAGTTTCAGCAGGCTATGGCACCTCTCCTATTGTGTCCGGAAGTGTAGTAGGAGGAATTCCAAAGTCTACTGTGCCCAAGGTACCTAGAATCCTAAATACGGTAGGTTGAAACTAACTTTCCTGTGCCATTAGGCCACATTTATCGAGATTCTACAGATATGATTGGGAATTGAAAAGTTATTAAAGTAATTCAAATTTAGTCAGCCACCCGGGAGCAAATTTGCACCAATGTACAGTACCTGCCATATCAATATAATTACGTAAATTAAATATTAAACGGTGCAGGAGTTTCGAATAAAGCAAAGTGTCACTCAAGTATTCACCAACTTTCTAACTAAAGGAGGTAGTTAATACAAGCTGCATAAAAAAATAAATCATCATTACGCTTCCTGGAAACTTACGTGCATATCTTTCTGTCAAATTTGGCTCCCTAGACCGGGCTCATTTATAAATAAATCCACACTACCCTACCCCTTAAGGTGAAGCCGAACAAAACTGGTTATCTGCATCGTTTTGATGGTGGGGCGTGGAAAAAAGCCCAAATTTAGTTTCCTCCGCCCAAATTTTCTTTTTAATTTTTCTAAACCCATCTTAATGGTTGCCTGCATCACTCGAAACCATAGAGATGAAACGAAAATCAATTGCCGAGCCGAAAGTAGCCAGCAAAGTGCTTTTCTACGTGCTTCTATCGGAGAAACTCAATAATTAACGAACTTATTCCTTTGATAGATCGATAAATCTTTCAGGAATTCCAAATACGAGCGATTTTCTAGAGCTAATTAATAATAATTTTGCAGCATAAATTGTTATTGCAGCTTCACAAACGAGCTATTGAGTTATTAACACAATCAACGGCGTAATAACTTCATTAAATCATCCCACAGAAAGCTAAACGTCCCGCTTTATTACCCTATAAGCATTGGTCACGTGAGAGAAGTGTTCTAGAGTATCAATTAATTCCCCTTTCTACCGTTCTGTCGCGAGGGCGCGCCGATCGATGGCCGAATCGTGGTGTTGCTGGACAGAGGAACAACGCTCTCGTACTTTACACACAAGAACCTCAGTGAAGAGATGCTTCCATTAACTTCACCCTTAACACAGCAGCATCCTCGTCTTACTACTGTACAAGCGTAAAGTCGGTAAGTTCTCGCTTAATAATTTACTAAAATTTATGTAAATTAGGAAAAAACTTTAATGGTTAAATTTCCTCCCACAATAACAACACGGCGAAACCTTAAAAGACTGGTCACGAGATATAAAAAAAAAACTACTAAAGCCGTACGTCACACACGAGACGTTTGTTACGTCAAAATTGAATTTTGAAATTTTAAATAATGGTTTCTTAATCGTCACGTGATTCGATTAATTTTGGGATTTAAATCTCGTATATTGATCCCTTCGTGAACACGAGAAATAAATCTCGCTTATTCATAAAATATTTAAATTTAAAGAAACGTGTCCATTTATTTAAATCAGTTTCGTGTGACGTTACGCGGCCATTTCAATTCGATTATCATCATCGAAAGTGTAATTGATGACTTTAAAAAATAATCGATTTATTTTTGTGTGTAATCGATCATTTTTATGCTTCAAAAATCGATTTATTTAGTGTAATTGATCATTTATTCTTGACAAATCGATTTGTAAATGATCGTTCACGCGCTAGAAAATTGATTTATTAACTTGAAATCGGCTGTTAACATTGCAAAAAATCGATTTTATTAACTAATAAATTGTAAAATTTGCTTAAACAATCGATTTTTTAAAGTCTAATTGAAGATTTATTTTCCTCTCAAATCGATTTTTCAACGTGCAAGTTAGTACTCACGCCGAGTTACACGTTTTGAAATCGTGGAAGTGACAGTTCGGATCTGTTCGTGAAAGGGCAGTTGATTTATCGTTCGAGAAAATCGATTTTATCAACTGCTAATCGATTAATTACACGATATCGATTTGAGTAATTGGATTTGTGTACGCGATTAATTTAAAACTTTAAAAGCCAGGAAAGTTATCGATCGATTGAGAAAATTCCGATCATTTACAATTAAAAATCGATTTTTAAGTGCCTAAATTTGATTGTTTATCCTCGAAAGTTACAAAAAGATGATATTGCGAGGTGTCTGTACAATCGACAATTTGATATCTAAACGTATAAATTACCAAAAAAGAGAAAAAAATTAACTCTGAACATCGATTTTACTCGTGTTGTAATTGATTATTCTTCTTAATTGATCACTTATGATCGATCCTGCCATAAAATTGCTTCGTTAACGTGTAATTCACCAATTAAACATGCTGCTGCCGTTATAAATTAATTTATAGCCATCCTTTCGATTAAATTACTGATCGAAAAATAATTTAGTATTTGATTTACGCTCTTGTAATTGGTCGTTTATGCTCGAGGAATCGTTTTATTAACTGGTAACCGTTTAACTATGCGTACGAAGTGTGTATCAAAACGTGTAATTGAGCTCTTAAAACTCGATTACACGTTTAAAACTAGAGAATTTGATTGATTACACTCGCAAAGTTCATTTCCCGACGTGTAATTTATCAATGTAACTTGCTTAATCACGTGTTTTTGAAATTATTTCTTCAAAAACACGCTGTTACACGCAATTGACGATTTTATTCTTGAAAAATACATTTTTCTAGAAAAAAACCAAGCGTGAAATAGATTTATTAAGCGAAATTAATCATTATCTGTCATTAATTGATTATCCGCGAGAAATCGATTACAAAGTTGAAATCGATACACAAAATCGATTAATGCCAAGAAATCGATTTTTGATCACGCCAACTTGATAGAGTCGATCAGTAAAACGTGGCGTGTCCCGTCTTCGTAATTACAAATCGATTTAATAATTATAATAATCGATTATTAATTTACGTAATTCTCTTTCGAATCTGTACTTAGTGGTCGAGCGTTACTCTTGCTTTCAGTTAAAATTCACGAAGGTGGCTATTTATAGTAACAATAACTGTGCTTACGGCCATCGCATAGATTTATCAGACGTCGGTGCTGCTATCCGAATTATTATTATTAAAATAGCATTTATATAAAAATAAAAATAGCAACGTACCGTGAACTGTATTCGGTTAAATTTACCATTTTAATAATATAAAAGAAAATCGATTGGTTGAACATTACTTTTGCTTTACTTTTCCGCCATTTTTCTCTGTTTTCTAAAAATAGCGGCTTTTATATTTTTGATTTCTCAATTTGATTACCTTTTTTCTGTGTGAGAAATCGATATCTAATCTGTAATTGAAGAATTCTTCTGCCGCGAAATCGATTTAAAATATGAAAATTACGGAATTTTTAAGGAAAAAAAATCGATTCTCACCAACTAATCGATTACTTAAGCGAAATCGATTGTCCGAGGCGTAATTGAGCCTTTTACGCTACGGAATCGACTTTATAAATTGATAAAGAGAGCAAATTTTTCGAGAGAAATTGGAAACTAATCGAAACCATTTTTGTTGTTTAAACTTCGCTAGACGAGCCGGAAAATTGATGTTTTTCCACCCTGGCGAGCGCTTTGCAGTGGCTAAAAAATGGCTCTCTTCTTCTGGCCCGACTCTTAATGACGTCACAAACGTAACACCACATCACTCGAGTGACCTTTAGCATAGTGAAAAATAATCGTTAACGTATATCACGCCCGTTCTTCAATTCTCAAGACGGTCGTACTGTACATAAAATACGTAAACGTCTTAACCGTAAAAAATATATAATGCTACAATAGTATCGAGGGAATTTCGAAACGTTTGGAGGGGAAAAGAGCCTCAGTTTATAAGCGTGCAGTCTCTTGCATAACATGCAAGTCGGGTTATTTTCTCCCGTTTTTTCTTCCATCTTACGTCAGCACCAATGCTGCTATAGTAACCACACAGCTGTTGCGAGTCAGAATGGATTTTTCTTCGGTAAAATTGCTTCCAAACACTATAAAATTGTTGCAGATACAAGATACGAGTGTGACGTTTTGTGAGATCGTCTCTTATCGGGGGAAAGGGTCCTGGAAAAATCCTAGTTTTATCCAAACGATCGCTGCTATAGTAACAGAAAGTCCAGCTGCTGCAGCTTCTAATGTCTAAATCCTTTTTTTTTCCTCCGATAAAATTGCTTCCAACCTGTAAATTTCAACGTTGTGTAGTGTAACAAAAGTGAAATTTCTGTATTATTTTTAAACTGTGTTAGCATTTGCTATGTACTGTACTTTAGCAAAATATGTTTCTGTTTAGTGTCTTGTTTGGACGATTCATTCAATATTTTGCAAGTTTGAGGCATTAGCCTAACATTACAACAGTTGATACTGCTGTAGTGTTAACCCACCCCCTAATTATTTACACTACTGTAACATTACAGCAGCATCTGCCTATTGTTAATACCTATTTTATAAGTTTGTGAGACATTAATTTTGATTTCTGATGAATGGGAGGAGACTTGAATGGCCTCTTCCAATGTAGTGTGTGGGCTGTTATAGTAACAAGAAAGGAAATTAGCAAAATTTGATCAACTTAAATAACAATTTTACGGTTTATCTCAGTTAAATCGAGGATAAAAATCTTGTTACCAATGGAATAAAGCTATTAGAGTAACATCTTAAAAAGTAATGTCAATTTGTAGAATAATAGGGAATTTAAATCCTTCTAAACATATTTTCGATAGAACCTTGATCACTTTTATGACTAAACCTTATCTAAATTAAGTCTATGGTTTATTGTTACTAAGGGGGCAGTAATCTGTAAGTTCTTACTAATTAATGCCTTTTGATGAATTCTAATTCTGCTCCCTGTTTTCCAATGACGATCAGACACTTGTAATTGTTACTTTGGTAGAAGTCGACTATGAATAAAACATGATCGCTTATTGGATTAATACAGTAATCTTGCGATAAGATAAACCAATTAGGATTGTTAAAAATATATAACTTACATAGATAGGTAGAGATGAACACTACTATTTTCCTCTGTTCTACGTAACAGGGAAAATCTTTGGAGTGGGGTCATTTTTTATTTTTGGTCTCGGGACCTTGAAAGGTCGAGAAATGCAAAGAAATTAAGGGGGTTTCTGTTTATGTGGATGTTAATGTGTGGGGGTTTGTTCACCCACTTTGAAGCTTAATAACTCCCGTGCTAATTGTCGAAAATTTCTGAAATTTTTGCAGGGAGATTTGTGTATTAAGTGGATTGATTCTGTTAAATTTTGGTAGTTAAATATCAAGGGGATGGAGAGATAAAAAAGGGTCTGATATCATATCTCGAGTGGGGGTAGGACTTAATGAAGATTTTACTCGTTATTAGCATTTACATTTTTTTTTATAAAACGCGCCCCTACCTTCATAATTAAACTTTTTGCATTTTATAATGAAATCTCGTAACAAATGGCACCACAGGCAATTTTAACAATTTTCCGGAAAAGTTACGCAACTCGTTGCTTGATTTTTTTAATCCTTTTGTAGCTTAACGAATGAGTAAAACACTTCTTTAATAACTTTTCTAGTTAACGGGTATAATATCGATGCTGCTAAAATAACAACAGGCACAGTAATCTAAAAAAACTTCGAGTACTTTCAAGAGAAATATCGAATTTTCTGAGTTATTTACTAAAATTAACAATTAACGTCAATGTTACTATAGTAACAATGTTAGTTTCTCAATTGTCCTGGTGTGTGTATACGTAAAATTTTTCAATGAAGTGATGTAGGTGCTACATAAGGGGGGGGATGTCACTCGTAAAAATCCGATTGGAACACGTGGAAATTCATTCAGACAGCTAATTTGTAGTTTCTGAAGCTGCAATGGTATGTAATACGATAGTTTTTCATTGGAGCAAGACGACTTTCCTTCTTGTGTTAGCGAAAATGCATGTCACAACGTCATCTTGCAGGTAGAAGAGCTTGCTCCTTCTATGCTGTTACTAAAGAAGTTTAGCAGGACGTGCGTAATTCGATCTCGTGATGGAAGGAAAGGGAATTGGGTCAACCTTACAAGGATCACCATCCATCAAGAAGAGAATAAACGATAGAAATATATGGATTTTCCGCATCAGTTTATGAAGCCGACCATGCTTAAAATTAAACTGGCAGCTGCACTTACTAATTTTAAATGCGGAAATCATTTTTTCCCCTTCGGA